AGGAGGAGAAGGAGGAGGAGGAGGAAAAGGAGGAGGAGAAGGCGGAGGAGAAAGAAGAAGGAGCCGCCGAGGCCGGTGCCTCCCCGCCCGCCCTTACCCGGCCCCCCCAGTGCCCTTTCCCGCCGGGAGGTGTGACGTCACGGTGCTTGCGTCACACCTCGGGGGCTTCACCAGCCCGCGACCCCTGGGGCCACTGCGCACTGGCACAAGCCCATCCCGGTGTCCCCCAGGTTGTTGCGCACTGGCACAAGCCCAGCCTGATGTCCCCCAGGCTCTCGTGCACGGGCACAACCCCACCCACCCCGATGTCTCCCATGTTTTTGTGCACTGGCACAAGCCCACCCCGGTGTCTCCCAAGTTTTTGTGCACGGGCACAAGCCCACCCTGATTTCCCCTTGGTTCTTGTGAACTGGCACAAGCCCACCCCGATGTCCCCCTGCGCGATGCCCGCCATGCCCCTGTGCCGCAGGGATGAGCACTAGGTGGCAGCCGGGACATGGTGTGCACGGACCCGTAAATTAATCCGGTTGTTTTCCCCCCTCCTACCCCAAAGACAAAACCTTTGCGAAACGAGATCCCAACCGTCGGTGGCTCCAGGGGCCCTTGCGTGTGCAGAGATGTGTCTCATCTGCTTTTTATCACAATTCCCAGCCCTGCAGCCTCCATCCCTGATGCTTTTCAGGAAGTAAATCCGCAGCAGGTCCCTACAGGAAAAGCCACGGAAGGGGGGTTTAATTAGCTACAAATATCATCTAAGGTTTTGTAATTGGTTTTGCAAAATCCTGCAGGAAGCTCCCAAAGCTTTGTACATTGGCTGGGCTGTTGGATGTGTGTGTGTTCAGGGGCTTTCACACATTTTTTTTATTTTTAACGATTGTTTTTGGAACTCTGAGAACAAAGCTCAGAGTCTGATGCTTAACAGGAGCCACCAAACTGCTCAGAGATGCCCTTGCCTGGTTATCCCTTCTCATGGGAGCATCCCCAGGGTTTCTGTCTGTGTCCAGCACTGCTTTTTACCATAACTTGGCATCTTTGCATCTTCAACTCCAGTGGTGAGGTTGGGGATCAGTGGGTTAATGTTGTCACTGGTGGAAGGGACAATCCTGTCCCACTGCCATGTCCACATTCATGTTTCATTAATTAATAATGTTGAGCTGTTGGGCCTAGCTCCAGAGAAGCATTTTAATAAAGCCAAGGGTGTAATTAGGGCTCTGGAGCCAAGTGAAGCTCAGCCTTGGTTGTCTCTGAGCCTTGTCCTCCACAATAGCAAATACGCAGCTGCCAAATGGCCCATTCCTAGAAAACCCATTTTTTTTTGCATGCAAAGCACAACTCAGCCTCTAATGGGCACCAAAGCCTTTTCCAGAGCTGAGGGTGGGATGTTGAAGAACCATCTTTGCTTGCAGATCCAGCAGTGAAGAAGCTACAAGGGTCCATGCAGGCACAACGTGGCGTGATCCTTTTTGTTACTCACAGAAGACATGTGAGAACCTCATCATCTCATCCCCCTGCCCTCCATCATCATCATTCCTGGGAAGAACCCACCCCAGGGTGTCTCAGCTGTCCTTTCTCAGCCTCTCCTCCTGCTCAAAGGCTGTATTCCAAGCCAGGAATAAATTTCCATGCCACACGGGTCGTGCTGTTATCGCCCCAAAACAATGCCAAGCAGAAAAGGAGAAAGCCAGAAGGCCTTCCAGAAGATATTCCCAGAGCTATCCACCCTCCCCAGTTTCACTGCCAGCTCCCAGTTGTTCTGGCTGCCTTCCAGCCACTGGTTTGGCTGTGCTTTTCTCTGCTGGACTTTGGTGTTCAGGAACCTCTTCTCATAAAAAAAAAAACTCTCAGGCCTCCAACAAAGGTACATCCTGGAGAAGAGTAGCTCTGCTGAGACATTAGAGCCCCTTCCAGTACCTAAAGGGCCTCCAGAAGAACTGGAGAGGGACTTTGGACAAGGACCTGGAGTGACAGGACAAGGTAGAATGGTCTTAAGTTGCAAGAGGGAAGGTTTAGATTAGATAACAGGAGAAATTCTTGTCTATGAGGGTGGTGAGGCCCTGGCACAGGTTGCCCAGAGAAGCTGTGGCTGCCCCATCCCTGGAAGTGTTCAAGGCCAGTTTGGATGGGGCTTGGAGCAAGCTGGGATAGTGGAAGGTGGCTCATCAGCCATCTCCATTGATTTTGGTGTAGCACCTTCTCCAGGCATAGTGACATTACTGCACAGCACCAAGCCAAAGGAAAAAAATCATTATTAATAATAATAATCAAGCTCTCCTAGCCCAAGCTGTTGAAACCTTAATCACTCCTTCCATCTACTGGTTTGAAAGTCCTTTGTACCTGTGAAATGAGGCTTCTCTGGGCAACCTGTGCCAGGGCCTCACCACCCTCACAGGGAAGAATTTTTCCTATTATCTAATCTAAACCTTCCCTCTTGCAGCTTAACACCATTCCGCCTTGTCCTGTCACTCCATCCCGTGTCCCAAGTCCCTCTCCAACCCTCCTGGAGCCCCTTCAGGCAGTGGAAGGGGCTCTCAGGTCTCCCTGGAGCCTTCTCTTCTCCAGGTGAACACCCCCAGCTCTCTCAGCCTGTCTCCACAGTAGATGGAGCATCTCCATGGCCTTCACTGGACTTGCTCCAGCAGCTCCACATCCTTCTGACATTGTGAGCCCCAGAGCTGGACTCAGTGCTCCAGGTGAGCTGCCTACAGGTGATATCACAGAGACCCAGCTGCCCCTCACATGCTGTGCCAAGTTTCTGCCCAGGTGTTTTGCCACACACCCTGTCTGCAAACACTTCACAACACCTTAGAGAAGGTTTTCAGCGAGTAGTCCCTCCCTGGTGAACTCAGAGATCAGGTCACATCTTCTGCAGGTCACTCCCTTGCTTGAGGTGACAGAGCAGAGAAGTTCTGAGAGGTGATTGTGGGTGATATCAGAAGATGCAGAGATCACGTTTTTATGGCTGCAAGATGGTGATTCTTAGAACAACTAGTCCAGGCACCCACAAGAACATTTGCCTTCCTGGATTAGGTGCAAAGGACCTAATTCCAAAGCTGTTTGTGAGAGCTGCTCTGTAAAAGTGACAGTACAATTAGGTTTAACCACCTTGTGGGACTAAATGCATTCAACATGTGAGTACTGAAACTCAAAAAAAACTCCCCTAAAATGAGGAAAGAAAAGCACCAAAAGGAGCAGTCCAGAGAAACAAGAAGCCTGCAGGCAGCCTGAAAGCTGTTAAAAAAGGCTGTGCTAGAAACGTCCATGAAGTATTTGCTTTGACTGGGAAAGAAAACAAAGAGATCTAAGAAAAATCCCTGCAGGGCACGAAGGGTGAGTCAAGGGAGGTTCTGGCAGGGATGAGCTCAGCAGGGCTCATGCAGCTGGCAGAGGAGAGCAGCAACTCCCATGAAACGGGTCAGATTCCAGAAGGAAAAAGGTATAAAAGGAAAGTGAAGATCCCATTGCAACAGACACCTGAATTTATAGAAATGTCTGTAAATCCCTGGAAAGCAGGAAACCATCGGGGGAGTCCTTGAGAAAGGAGAAGGACACTTAGGGGTGCTGTGCTCAGTGCACTGCTCTGCCCATGGCAAGAGAGTGAAGGCTATAATAAAACTGAAATTGCTGAGCGTGGGCTGTAATAATTTCCATAAATAGATGTGGCTTAACATATCTTAAATACAGCGCAGGCAATTAGTACTAAAAATGGTTTGGTGCAAAAGTTTAAAAAAAAAGAATCACTTTTTTTTACTCCTAACTATTAGATTACTCTTTTACTCTCACTTTTTTCCCTACCAATCTCTAGTGCAGATCTTTTCCATGTTCTTAATCAAAATAGAACTGCCCAAATTTTCTCTTTCAACAGTAGAAATGATGCAGTATTAATAACACCTCATTAACACTCCTCCTGAATTTCCAAAGAAGAATGAACCTCCCATTTAACATAGGTTTAGGTGTTTTTTTTAACCTAATTCCAGCTGATAATTATTTTCCTTTTAGGGTGATAGAATGTTCATGTTTTTAAGGAATTAATATGAAACCTCTGACAACAGATGGAGACAGCACTTCCCCATAAGACAACTGCAGGCATTTAAGGAGAAATTCCTGCCAGGATTTATGTGGTAAATTAAATAACTGGCTAGTTCATTAGTAACACTCAGATGCACATGACTATCCTCATCAAAACCTGAAGCACATCACTGCAGAAGGCAAAATTAATACCTAGAGCTAGAAATCATTGCATATCCCTCAAATACTGGTTGACATTGTGTGTATATATTATAGATATATATATATATATATATATATATATATATATATATATATATATTAGCTTCAGGTATATAGTTTCCTTCCATGCCACAAGAACCAAAATAGTGGATGAGAGGTATCCTTTGAAAGATTCCTGCTCTGTGGACATCAGCTGGGTAATTCCCACCACGTACCATTTCCCTGAGGGTTCCCATCACACAGCACCAGCTTCCAATTGAGATGTGCAGAATAATCACCCAGCAGCAGGACAGCCTGGATGGCTGGTTTTATTTTATTCATTATGTTTATATATATATAAATAAAAATAAAATATATCAAGTTTATGATATATATGTATAATATATGCATATATCTTAATAACATATTATGTAAAATATATCTGTTGATTATATATTTATATATTACATCTATTATATAAATATATATTATATAAATATATATTGTATGTTTATTATTTATTTATTTTATCATGCTGGAGAGCAGATGCCACCAAGCCTCAGCTGGCCAGAAGACAACATATGGCCCAGAGACCTTGACTGAGCTGCTGTGGCCCATGGGCTGCTCAAAGGGAGGTGGTTCAAGGCAGTTTAAGCCGCTCAACCCATTTCCCCAGTGGATGCTGCAACACTTTGAAAGCCAAATCTTGGTTTCTCATAGGAGGATGGCAAGAAAGAGGATTCACTGTGTCACCCCAAAGTCACAGGGACTGTGTGATTGGCCAACAAAAGACGGTGGAGATCAACCATCCTCCACCACCCTCCAGAAACAGCACAAGGCCACGCTCTGCTCCTTCATCTTCCTGCATTGGGGTGGCTGACACTGATCCAAGGATTGTTCCAACCTAGAGCCTCCTCCTGCCTGGTAACAACCGAAATCTTCTCATTATTCAGCCTCTCTTAGAAAGTTTTGTCATTCTTAAACTGGCTGGAAACTTCATATCTTTCACTTTTAGCTGCATTTCACTGTTTTAGCCTTAACTGTGCAGTGACTCCAGTCTGACAGGAGTCAGTTCTGGAGGCTTCTAATATTGATAAGGGAGAAGAGTTTTTGTTGGCTGCAGGAAATGTAAACACTCAAAAATTTATCCTGGAAATCATATAATTCTTGAGGTGAAGGAAAGGCAATAGCCACTAAGAAAGAATAAGAAGAAACTGGATTTTGATTTAATTGTAAAGGAACTTTTTCTGCTCTTTTTTTTTTTATTAGAAAAACTTAAGAACACACATTGGGTTGTTTTGTATAAATATGGCAAAAATTTCTTATTTTTCTATTTAAATTAACAGCTTTAACTTCCATAAAGCAAATCAAATTTATTGCAATCCATTGCAAAGTATCAAGAAATCAAGAATAAATGTCTGGGTGCTTAATGCATTAATCAAAAGGGAGTTTAAAATAGTATTTTCTGCATGGTAGTTTCTTCCTATGCCATGATCCTGTGTATGCTCCAGGGAAACCTTAGGACAACAGACATTACCATAACAAAAATGTGTAACAGCTCTTCTAGATAACTCCTAGGTCTTGAAGAACATTTCTGTGTGTCACTTCTAACCCCATGATAACTGTGGAGGGACCACCTTCTCACTGATGTCTTGGCCTCCTTTCTCTGTAGGGACCCGAGTTCCCAGCCCACCCTCTGCCATGAAAATCCTTCCCTTTCTCTTTGGTCTCCTCTTGGTGGCATTTCATGGAGCTGCAGGTAAGGTGTAAATGAGGATGGGGGACTATAGAGAAGGAGGTGCTGGTGTCTTACAAAGGTGTCCCGTCCCCTTTGGGATGTGGCCAAGCTGCCTCCTGCAAAGAATCTTCACACATGCCATCAGAACTTGTGGGCAGACAACAGATGATACATGAAATTAGCGGGCAAACACTCCAACCGTCACTTCAGTGCCTTTGCTACTCCTCTGGAAGTCCGGTCTGAGGTGAAAGCATGAGGGGAAACCCCAAAATTACCATTCAGCACCAGCATTTTCCCTGTTAGAGGCTGCAGACTTACACTTAAATCAACTTGTTTCTGAGTCACCCTACAACAACCAAATCAAATCATGATCAAATATTTTTAAGCCACACAGCAAATAAAAGGAATCTGGTCCCATACTCTCTAAATATTATTTGTTTCAGGAGTTTGTTCTTGGAGTGAGGAGGCAGAAGATGATGAGTTAGGACTGAAATTCTACTGGTAGCATCTCCTCAGTGGAGAAGCCTGTGCAATCACAAGTGGTGGTGTAAGGCTGTCCCTCTTGGGGGAATGCAAAGGAGTCTGGAACCCCAAACCCACCCTAATACCCAGGAAAAGGGTTTGTGTTTTAACACCATCTCTGAAAATGGCACCAATGCAGTTGCAGGGCACTCTGTGCACAAACAAGTGCCCGGTGAAGTTTTGGGGTTGATCTCTGTGGGAACAGGGCTGAAAGTGTCCTTTGGGGGAGTAAGGATGGGAAAAGACTGTGATGGACTGCAGAAGACCAGAAGACCAGTGTCACACATATCCCTGAAGGGATTTGAAAGATATGTAGATGTGGCACTTGGGGACATGGGTTAGTGGTGAGCTTGGCAGTGCTGGAGGAATGGTTGGACTAGATGATCCCAGAGAACTTTTCCAACCTAAATGATTCCATGGCTCTATAATTCCATATGCTTGTCTGATCTTATTCTTACCTGGGCCTCTGCTTATGGCAGTTCTCACAGGCAGGACACGGGGCAAAGCATTCCTTTGGTCTGTTTTATGTCCTTGTTTAACACACAAATACACACAGTGGATGCTTGGCCTGTTTACAGTAGGACCTTTCTTCTGAATATAAAAGGCAAGAAATTTCTCTGGAAAAAAAATACTTCTGAGAGCTCAGACTGCTCACAATCATCTCTGCAATGTCCCACAGAAAGATAGTTTGGCACCAGAAGTGTTTTATTCACCCTTCTCTTTTATTTCTGCCTGGGATTTTCTGGGTCTTGCTGGGTGTGCATGCACCAGTTCACTCATATGCTGGGAATCTAACACACCAGGGATGTGCTGGATCCACTGTGAGTGTGTAATATCCACTATCTGTGTGCTGGAACAAGCTCTCCTCTCTCTGAATATGCTGGACTTAGTGTAGTTCCACGGATGAGCTGTGAAACTGGAATTAATTGGTTCATGTGCAGTCATTCAGGTGCATCCAGAACATATCAGCTGCCAGGCTACCTCTCTATTAATCAACCAAACAGGGCCAGGCATCAGGCTGCCTAATTAGCAATCTGCTCCCTGGGGTCATTTTGATCTCTGACAACTAGCATTGCCATAGAAAAAAAATTGTTCTGGCTGCTGGCCATTCCCAAAAGGTAGTTTGAATGTGGGGATGCTATTTTAATGGAGAAGACAGTTTAGCCATGTAGGTAAGAGCAATGCCAGGCTGCCAGGCCTCAGACCCAGAGGACAATGCCTGGTTTGCTGTGTTTGGTAGCATGGAATTGTTCTACATGGATTGATGATTTTATCCACATATGGACAACCAGGACCTGTTTTGAGACATAGCTGAAATTTATAGGGAGGAAAATAGGCCAAATCTATAGAACCATAGAATCATGGAATGGTTTGGGTTGGAAGGGTTCTTAAAGATCATCCAGTCCCAATCCCCTGCCATGGGTAGGGACACCTTCCACTATCCCAGGTTGCTCCAAGCCCTGTCCAACCCGGCCTTGGACATTTTCCGGGGCAGCCACAACTTCTCTGGGGAACCTGTGCCAGGGCCTCACCACCCTCACAGCCAAGAATTCCTTCCTAAAACCTAATATAAATCTCTCCTTTTTTAGTTTAAAAATTTTCCACCTTGTCCTGTCACTGTTTGTCCATGTAAAAAATCTCTCTCCCTCTTTTTTGTACAAGTGTGAGCCTCCCAGTCAAGCTGGTGCCTCCCTCCTTAAGTGTGACCTAAAAGACTTTCAGAGCTGCTAAGTGCCCACTTACTGTTTTATACCAGGTCCCTGGTGTCTATCCCTAAAATGTGAGTTCCTAAAGGAGTCCTGGGCTTGGAGACACAGTTCTTACATCTGAAGAAGGAATTAGAGGATATGCTTGGTTGTTCTGCCCACTGACCTCCTCCTCTGAGGGCTACGTTAAGACTGTGTTTGGGCACAGGTGTGACACGGTCTCAGCTCACAGGAATTTAGCAAAATGCAGAACCCTGACAGAAACAACTGTCTCCTGGTTTTGTTTGTTTGTTTGTTTTTTAAGGTAGAAGCCTTGCAAGACCCGTAAAACCTTACATGGAATGTGGATACCGTGGGACTTTCTGCCACAGTGGGAAATGCCCTCGTGGCAACGCTTACCTGGGGTTGTGTCGTTTCGGGTATAGTTGCTGCAGATGGTAAGTTTAGGATTTAAATGGGGCAAAGATGGCTCCCCAAATTTTCAGTTGAACCCTGAGTAAGACTTTCCTCATCAACATGATTCCGAAACACCCTTTCCTTTGTGCAGGTTGTAGTGTGGCTAATTGCAGAGAATCTCCAGGGATGATTGCTTTTGGCATTGTTGGATTCGGGGAATTGTTGTACCAGTCATCAAGGATTTGTCATTCTTCTCTCAATAAAAGCAAGATTTAGGAAGTTTGTATGGTTGTTTGTTGTCATTCATTTTTCCAGAAGTCTTATCTGCATTCAGAATTTTAAGTGAGAATTCTGAAATCAGGCTAAACTTACTAGGAAAGCCTAGTTTACCAAAATATTTCCCCATCTTGGGTTACTGATTGAATGAATATTGGCATGTTCTCCACACATCCCTGCTAGGGATCCTCTGCCGTAACTAAAACTGGGATCTGTCATCATTTCCATAGGGAGCACAAAAGTCTTCTCCTGTGTGGATGCTTCATAGAACCTCTGCTGTGAAAACTTTCAGTTCCCACCTCCTGGTCCAAAGCTTTCAGACCTGAGAACAGTATCTTCTTTCATTATAGGAACTAAGGACACACAGAGCAGGACAAAGGGAGGCAGGTGACCCCAATTTGTAATTCGAAGCCTGATTTTACCTTTGGTTATTCTGTCTGATATAAATTCGGAGTAACTCTGCAAAATTTATATCGACTGCGGTTGCAAATCAGGAGATCTGAGCTAGACTTATGACATTGCTTGAGACAATTAGACAACGTGTACAAGAGGCCAACACCTCTGTGACTTTGATCACTTTTCTTCTAAGAGGTTCATCCTGTCCTGCTCTGGACCATAACAGAAAACTCAGAAGGTTCAGGTTTCTTGGTGAGCTCCTGTCTCTCCAGCTGCTCCTGCACCACCGAGAACATCCTTGTGCAGACAAGGACTTGTGTAGGTTGGACTTGATGATCTCAGAGGTCTTTTCCAACTTAATTGATTCTGTGATTCTGTGATCCTTTGATCCTTGTTGCCCAGAGAATCTGTGGCTGCCCCATCCCTGGAAGTGTTCAAGGCCAGGTTGGACAGGGCTCTGAGCAACCTGGTCTAGTAGAAGGTGTCCCTGCCCACGGCAGGGGGTTGAACTAGATGATCTTTAAAGGTCCTTCCAACCCAAACTATCCTGTGATTCTATGAAGGTAAGAGCAGTAATGGTTGGCTTTTAAGGTACACAACAAACCCAAATACCTACATGCAAAGGACTGACTTGAAGCCCTGAGCTCCCCATTTGTTGCAGATCATCTGTTCTCCCTTCACAGAATCACAGAATTTTTAGGGTTGGAAGAGACCTCTGGAGATCATCCAGTCCAATCCTCCTGTCAAGGCAGGATCACGTGGAGCAGGTGACACAGGAACACGTTCATGTGGGTTTAGAATGTCTCCAGAGAGGAAGACTCCACACCCTCCCTGGACAGCCTGTTCCAGTGCTCTGCCACCCTCAAGGGAAAGAAGTTCTTCCTCATGTTGAGGTAGAACTTCTTGTGTTTAGTTTACGGCCACTGCTGCTCATCTTGTCCCTTGCCACCACTGAAAAGAGTTTGGGATCATCCTCTTGGTACCTGCCTTTGAGATATTTATATGTATTGATCAGATCCCCTCTCAGCCTTTGCTGCTCTAAACTGAACAGGCCCAGCTCCCACAGTCTCTGGGCCTGTTCAAAGCAGATGTTTCTGCAAATGACTCTGCCACCATTGAAACCACAGCCTTGTGAAGGGCAGGAAACTGGGCCAACGGCCACCTCCCAGGGATTCCCCTGGATGGAAACCTGAGGAAATTGCCAAGGGGAACCAAACCAGCAATTTACAGTTTATGTCCTAAGAAGTTTTGCACAATCCACGGAAGGTGAGTGTTTCTTTCACAAACTGGAATGGCTCAAGATGCTTTGCTCAAGGACTGAGGACTTTGCAGAGAGGTTTCAGCCCTTGTTATTTTAGATTCAGCTCTGGAGACAGTGTCTGGAACCACCATCATGCAGAATACATCCTTTATCATCATGCTTTCAGTTCACCACCACAAATAGCAGCCCTTGCCTTCATGACTTGGGAATGGCCTCAAGAGCCAGCCTTGAGTGAAACACATGCTGAAACCTCACCCCCTAGGATCCATGCTGCACATCTCCTCTCTGCTTCTTATCCCAATTCTACTGCCCTAGCACTCTGTACCTGTTCAAATTCATAGAATCATAGAATAATAAAATGGTTTAGGTTGGAAGGGACTTCAAAATCATCTAGATTCAAGTCCCTGCCATGGGCAGGGACACCTTCCACTAGACCAGGTTGCTCCAAGCCTTGACCGACCTGGCCTTGAACACTTCCAGGGATGGGGAATCCAAAACTTCTCTGGGCAACCTGCTCCAAATTTATCTCACAGCTCTTCCCAGGAGGTAGAGATGGTATTGAAGATGGATTAGATAATGCCAGGCAGATTATAACTGAACTGGTGGAGTGGGACTGTCCATGCCACAGCCAGATGTGCAGTGGCTAAAACTCATTTGAGACACATATCAAGCCCTTGGTGGAATGGCTGGTCACACAAAATCACAGTTTGTGCCTCTAGGTTTCTACTACATCCCAATTAATCACAGAATCATAGAATACCCTGAGTTGGGAGGGATTCACAAAGATCACCGAGTCCAGCTCCTGGCAATGGCGCTGCTGTCAGTCTTTTAGCACAGCCCCTCTCCCTCTGTGCATGTCTGGGAGAGGACATTGTTTCATGGAAAAGAAGTGTGAAGAACAGGAGATCTGCTCACCCCAGTGCCCCAGCAGACCTCTTTGAACATGTAAGAGTGGTGAGACACTGGCACAGGTTGCCCAGAGAAGCTGTGGCTGCCCCATCCCTGGAAGTGTCCATGTCCAGGTCAGACAAGGCTTGGAACAACCTGGTCTAGTGGGAGGTATCCCAGCCCATGGCAGGCAGTTGGAATGAGATGACCTTTAAGGTCCCTTCCAAGCCAAGCTATCCTGTGATTCTATGATTCATACAACCACTCAGGGACCACCCATTACTATGCACGAGTAGGTTTTTAACATACATACACACACATATGCTCAATGAATCTGCAAGAAGGCCGAAAACATATATGAAGATGCACCACCAACACACTGAGAACCAGTAAAGGGTTACATACAGCAAACTCCACAAAACAAAGACACAATTAAAGCTTGTCCTTCACGGGGCTGCCAGTTGGACGGAGATGTCATCTCATGTGGCATCTTCCCAGTTATTTTGCAGTGAAGCATAGAGAGCACGCTTCACGTGGGGGGAGGAGGACAGAGCTCCTTTGTGTTGTGAAAGCTGATTGCTGGCCAAGGTCTAACGAACAGGGATGCTGTGTATGTCCCAAGAGGTGTCCAGCAAACCACAGCACCGAGCGGCCCTTACGCAAGGCGGGATGACACAAGATCCCTGGCTGCAGGCCTGGGAATCCTTCTTAGAGGTGTCAGAGGAGGAAAACTATGCTTCTTATTCTCTGGCAGGGGAAGAAACAGGAAAAGGAACTTTTTGGCTGGACGTTTTGAGGTGTCAGCCATCCCAAGGGACACTGTGCTACGTGGAGAGACCAGCTGGCTTGGACCAAACTGCTGCCGCCGGGAGCTGAGAGGCTGCGGGAGCTCCTACCCCTGGGCTGTTGAGCTCATCCTCCTGCCAGTGACTGGTGACATCCCTTCTCCTCAGTTCTGTCCCTGAGCAGGTGCTACACAACCCGCAGGCAGGGATCCTCCCGTTCATCTCTGCCTCCTTTCTCTTCTCCCCAGAGCTGTGACACTGCTGGCGACTCCCAGCCATGAGGATCCTGCCTGCCCTCTGTGCTCTGCTCCTCCTGATGCTCCTGGGAGTGACAGGTAAGAAATGTGGAGGAGGCAGTGGAGGGTTTGTCCTCTGTCGGTATTTTGTAGGGAGGATTTGCCAGCTGAGCTGATGAGTCACGTGTGAGTTCTGCTGGTGGCTGTGCCATCCTCCCTGGGGTCCCTCTCATCCCATACCTTTAAGGAAAGGCTCCTACTGCAGGTTCTGCAGTTGGGACTGGAGCTGAAACCTTGTACTAAAGCTCTTGTGCTCCAGGGATGAGGTTTTGCCACCATTTCGATACCTCCTGTCCCTTGCCTCTCTGAGTCAGCAGCACTGGGCACAGCAGCCCTGCTGAAGAGGAGGAGGTGGGAGGAAGGCAGACCTTGCCTTCACCTTTGGATTCTTCCCTTCTTCCAGAAGGGAGGCAGCAGGCATGTTGGAGAGCCTCTCCCAGAGCCTGCTGAGGGGTGGTAGTGACCGTCCCATCCAAGTGTCATAAACATCACCTTGATTTCTGCTGCAGGTACCTGTTCGTGGTGAAGGACAGGCAGGTCTGGGCCAATGTTGGCCACACAGGGAGTAGGGGTTGTGCTCAGCACCTCAGCAGGGTTGTCCTAAAGGTCTCCTCTCCTGGTTCTCTGCAGGTCTGTCCCTGGCTCGAGGATCCCACCAGGAATGCGAGCGTCGCGGGGGCTTCTGCTCCCACCGGTCCTGCCCTCCCGGGATCGGCCGTGTTGGCCTTTGCTCTGAGCAGGAATTCTGCTGTCGGATGTAAGTTCAGGGTAGCTCAGAGGGCTCTGGGGGGTTAGAGGCGAGGCTGTTAGAGAAAGAGTGGGGGGAATATGCAGCCCAAGGGCATGGGGACATCCCTGAGCCCTCACGGCTGCCTTGGCTGGGACAGGCACTGCCAGACCTTTCCTCCTGCAGGCGATGGTATCCCTGAGAGGCTCCTGGATCCCAGGTGCCAGTCTCTGAGACCAGCCCTTGCCCTCTCTGCACGGTCAGGATGATGCTGCGTGGAGGAACTGAGCACCGCCGGGAGCAGCGACAGCCCTGGACAGCCAGACCATGATCCCATGGGAATCCCTTTAACCCAGTGTCCCCAATACAAGGTGGTGGTTTGCATTCCCGCTGCCAAGATTTGTGTGTGTCATCGGTGTGCATCTCTTTCCTCTGGCTGCAGGGAAGGGCAGAGCAGATGGGGTGAATTCCTGATAGACATGGACCCACAAACACCCCCCCTCCCCATCCACCATCTCTCCAAGCCAGCCCAACCACACCAGCATCCCACCCATGGATGGAGGGGGGATGCATGTGACAGCCCAGCACCAGCCTTCCCGCTCAGCAAGGGCACCCCTGCATTTGGGTTCAGGGATCGATTGGTTGCTATGACCCCCCTAATTTCAGTGGGTGGCCTACTGGTTGTCCCCTGCCTCCCAAGCCTGGTCAGGAGTCCTCATGGGGCTGTTCCACTGGACACACACATTTGGGTCCATCCCCAGCTGTGGGGCCTGGGTGTGTGGCACCACGGGGGTATTGTGGGGTCCAGGGGTAGCTGGGGGTGGGGGAAGCCATTCTGCTCCAGAGGAAATGGGGATTGATGGCTGTGCCATGGGGCTTCTTAGGAGCTTGGGATTGAGTTAGGGGTCAGTGCTGGGGGGGGTCAGACCTGGTTATAGGCTTGGTAGGCTCAGTTAGGAGCCCAGGTGGGTCAGCGTTGTGGATGATCCTTGGAGCAGATCCACAATGCTCAGCTCAGGGGTGCCATGGGAGTGTAGGCACTGCCATGGGTCAGTCACCATGGGGGCTGTGGGGCAGGAGGCATCCCACTGCCTCCCACCAGGGAACAGGGCAGACAGGGCGTGGGAGCAGCCTCTGCCTGAGACTTTGGGCATCTCCATGGGGATGGGCCAAAGCCAGGCCGGGATGTCAGCTGTGGGTACACATCAAGGTCTGGATCAGCAGGGCCGAGCTGCCTCTCTGGTGGGGTCCAGCACAAGATCCCCAGTCATGGTCTCCCTGCAGGGTGGACGAGAAGACCTTTCCACACTATGAAGTGTCCTTGGCTCTGCTGGTCCTGGACTGATCCTGAGCCTGGTACCAAAGTTCCCAGGACTTTTTACATCCACAAAGACTTAACAATGGATGCCCAATCCTACTTCTGTGGATTGATGCTCAGGGAATATCCCCATCATGCATCAAGGCCGGGTTGAAGAAGTTTTGAGCAACCTGGTTTGGTGGAAGGTGTCCCTGCCCACGGCAGGGGGTTGGAATGAGATGATCTTAAAGGTCCTTTCCAACCCAAACTATTCCATGATTCTATGTGTGTCTCTGATAAATGGCATCAGACCCTGTGTCCCTGATGCATCCAACCTCAAGCCCCTTTGTTTTCTCCAGGGTCCAACTCCCAGAACTTTGGTACCTCTGGGCAATGGACCAACACTCCTGGTGTTCTCTCCCATAACCAGTGGTCTGGTTTGAAGCTTGCTAGAGGACTGCACAGCCATGGACACATACCAGAGACAGATTGTTTGTACATAAAATGGTTAGAATTAAAGTTTACTTGGAATACAGGACAGATTATGGTGATCAGACATAGGGCATGGCCATGCTTACTTGAGCTGGGCCACAAGACATGCCACAAGGGATGCCTTGCTTCTTTCTATCCTATCACCTGCTTTTTCATGATCCACCTTGATCTTTACCTTTCTGAAACATCACAAATTTCCTATAAATCCACAAATTCTCTTGATCAAGTCCACATCTCCAAGGCCTACTAAGGCCCTATTCACCTTCCTTCACTAATCTCCCTTAGTTTGCACACCTTTACACGGAGTTTTGCTTCTGCAGAATCACATTTGCAGTTTTTATACCAAGAATGGCAATTTTAGGAGCAGTGCATTCAGACAGGGTGAGGTGAGGTGTGGTCTCACCTGATTGCTTTTCTTTTGCCCGCTGCTGTTGATCTGAGTATGCATGAGAAAGACAACCTTGAGCTTGACACTTCCCAGCATGTCAAACGCAACTCACCTTGGCAAGGATGAAGCTGTTAAAAGAGAAGAAAACCAAAATATTTTGCATGTTTCTGCACGTCACACAGCACCAGCTCACTGAGTAAAATGACAGGAAAGGAAGAGACAAATATTTTATCTTTTTATCACAGGATGATTTGAGGAGGAAGGGACCTTAAAGATCATCTTATCCCACACTCTGCCAAGGACAGGGATATCTTCCACTATATCTCAGGTCGCTCCAAGCCCTGACCAACGTGGCCTTGAACACTTCCAGGGATGGGGCAGCCGCAGCTTCTCTGGGCAACCTGGGCCAGGGCCTCACACAGTAAAGAATGGTTAGAACTGATTTCTACTGAAGTCTGCATCAACCAGCTTGCTCTGCCCATCCCTGGCAGGTCATGTCAGGCCACCACAACCTGTGTGCTGCTGTGCAGGGGGTGTCACAAGACGTGTTGCAGGAGGATAATGGTGACATTGCAACAGCCCCAGGAGGCCCCTCAGCCTCAGCAACTGCATCAGGAAGGGACGAGGGGAAGCCCCAGCACCCCCACACAGATGGTGGCTTTCTGATTGGCCCAGGGGAGATGTGTCAGCAAGAATAAGGGAATGTTCCTGCAATCTGCAATCATATAAAATCAGAGCATTTTGGCCAAAAAAGTGCTCCTTGGACCCAAGGTCATCTAGACTCAAGTGATTCCTCTCGGGTTTGTTGTTGCCTGGACACCAAGACCTTCATCAGGTAGGTAACTGTGGGGTTTCCTGGAAAAGAATCAGCTTTGGTAACGGATTTCCCAGAGACTGAGACATGAGGAAATACTCCCAAGGTTTGCAAAGCGGCACTAACATAACAATTGTGCTTAAGAGAAAGGTAGAGGAAAGATCATGTGCTGTGTTTGGAGGCAGCCCCTCTGCAGTTTGGGGAACCCCAGTGCCCAGGCTTCTGCACCCCCTGGGGCCCTCCATGTCCTCATTGCCTCGGTGTTCCCTCTGCAGCCCTGTGAAGAGCCAGGAGAGGTGGATCAGCCATGAAGATCCTGTACCTGCTCTTCCCCTTGCTCCTCCTGCTGGTCCAGGGTGCTTCAGGTGAGAGGGCAAATGGGGAGATGGGAGGGGGTATAAACCCTCATCACTGGGTGCCAGGAAGTGACCACATCAGTTGGAGTGATGTGAAGGGTAGGGGAGATTAAGGAGAAAGGTGGGTCTCCAGTGATTGTCTGAGTGAAGACAGACAAGGGGTGGAAGGAACCCCTGGAAATAGAAGCCTGGCTTCTACTGTGGGTCAGGGAGGGGGTTGTGTTTCATGCTCCAACCTTGCACCCAGCTGTTCCTGTTTTGGTGTCTCTGGATGATCTTTTGCACTGTGGTTGATCTTTGCTGTGGGGAGGCTGGAGATGAGCCCATCTATTGGCCTGAAATGCACAGGGTATATCAGCCTTTTTCAACCAAACACAGCTCTCTCATGTTATTGCCTTATTTGTTCTATGTGTATCTTTCCCCATGGAAACTTGAAAAGCAGCTGGATGCAGACGGCGAGGGGGATACTGCACTTATGGAAGATGCAACTTCCCTGCGAGACCTATTGGAAGATGTACCCTGTATAGTGTGTGCTGCAAAAGATAAGGTCTGGATTCCTGGCAGAGGGAAGAGTTTCCTCCTTTGTCCAGAAAAATCTATTACAAATTTGTTTTGTGTCAACGCCTGTTAAATACTCTCCTGCATTTATGGTTTTTGGGAGAGGTCCAAGAAGGAAGGCAAAAGCCCTTCTGGGTTTGGACCAGGCCAGAGTGGGGCTGCAGGAGCCCCAGGTCAGCCAGTGCCTCCCCACCCTCCTCCAGTGCCAGGAGGCTCATTCAGGTTTGCAGAGGACTCACCCAAGCCAACAAAGAGTGAAGCATTTACTGTCCTTGGGCAGCACTGAGGATATGATCCAGGTTTTGCTGAATCTGCACAGACTTGGAGTCAGGGCTGCCACCACTGAGATAACTCAG